GATAAATATCATAAAGCCTGCCATTTGAAATAAAATAAAAAACCATGTTAAAAGAGGGTATTTTGTAGTATTCAAAGCCAGAATTCCTAATACGAGTGGAGGTCTACTTGACTGTCGCTTACTGCTTCAAATTTCATTTAAGTCAACCCACATCCCAGAAGTTTGCATACTTGAGTGATCATGCCATGCTGATCCTAAAGATTGACAACCCAACAATCAGATTTTGTGAAAGTGGAGGAGGTTAACTACATTCGACCAATTAAGCGGATACTGTCGGCTGAAACATTTCCAAATGAGAGAGGACTATGTAATATCAATGGAGCTTCTTGACGTGTAGAGTGTTTGGACAAAATTAGAGCCTTCTAAATTATTCCACATTCATTTTTGACAGGCCTTTAATCTGTGGGACACGTTATCGCTGTGTGCGTGCCAGGATTGGGAGGTGCGGCCGTACAACTCTGTGTGCAGGGACCGTACGATTGGGAGGTGCGGCCGTACAACTCTGTGTGCAGCGACCAATTGGGAGGTGCGGCCGTACAACTCTGTGTGTAGCGACCGCACAAGCAGGTGCGGCCGTACAACTCTGTGTGTAGCGACCGCACAAACAGTGACCAATCACCAACCTCTGTTTAACCTAATCCCCCATCCTGATCATGAGAAGCTCCCTGCGTGTACACACTTGATCCGCAATATGCTCACTGAATAAGCGTGCTCCCACTTGATCCGCAAGATACGTCCTGAATAAACGTGCTCCGTGCACACTTTTCTGATCATTACGTGACTGAATATACGTGTTCCGAATTATCGTCTGTTTCCTTTATAGCTGGGCTATAGCTTAGCTAGTTTCGGTCTGTTTCCTTTATAGCTGGGCTATAGCTTAGCTGGTTCGTAATATGCTCACTGAATAAGCGTGCTCCCTACTACACGTCTGTTTCCTTTATAGCTGGGCTATAGCTTAGCTGGTTCTGGGACCCTAGCTAGATGTAGGAGGCTCTGCCATAGAGATTTCTGAGCCGGTAGCTAGATGTTTGAGAATCTGCCATGGAGATTTCTGAGTCGGTCTAGCTAGATGTAGGAGGCTCTGCCATAGAGATTTCTGAGTCAGTCAGGCTTTAATAAAGTAGCAATCCGCTACAAATCTGTTATCTGCTTTTTCACTCACATTTATTAAACTACAGAAACCAATGAATTGTTCAAAAGATTGTCTTGTTGAAATTGGCTGTTGCATGGTAGCATTGCAACCAAAAATAGCCCTTAATTCACCAATTGAAAGGTGATTTTGTGGAGAAATCGATGAAACAACAGTGGTTCCTAACGCTACAATTGAAACGTTGTTCGCTGGAAAAATGGTTGGCTTTAGTTGAAAAAATCGCCAAAAACTTTTTTGTTTACATTCATTAAATTCGCGTATTTATTAAAATGCTCAAAATCGTGAAGTTATTGTCTTGCATAGTCTTAGAGTAAGGCAAAACACGTTTTTTTTGCTTTCTGGCAATTGTGGGTATTTTTAGGCTAATAAGGCTATAACAGCGTCAAGCACATAGTAGTTGCCGTTGTCGTCGGTTTTGCAATGCTGAAAGCTAGAAGCCTCCAGATTTTCAACTAAACAAAGGATTGAGCCATTCTGCGCAAAATGTTTAAGGGTTCATCCCCAAGCATAAAGGATCCTTCTGCAAATATGGGAAATAAATTGTCTCTTGATATTTCTTACACACCCTAAAATACTGGTTCTTCAAATTCTTCTAAAAGTCCTCCTTACTTTCAAGTTGTACGTGTCTCTGCTTAGTGCTCTCTACTGCAACTCATGTGTGTCCAATGATGACATAAAGTTACAGTCATCAGGCGGAGGCCATGTAAAATTCACGCCTCTCAATCATCCTGTTTCATTTTAGCCCAATCACTCATCTTATCCAGGCAATCCCTTACAATGTTTTGTTAATGCTGATGGGAAAATTATCCAACGGAAGTTTGTGCTAAAGCTTCTCCATACCCCCCTCCCCCCTCCCAACAAAAAAAATGTTCAAATTGAAGCAAACACGCAAATAACTGCAAATCAATCATTTCTTTTACTTTAAAGGGCGGGATTTTACATAATCAATGCTCACATTTAAGACAATGACTTGGATTCTCTTCAATAAAGTATTTCTCCTTCCATTCTCATACATCTTGCAATTTCGCCTTTGAATTAAGTTGAAAAGAATGATTGACTTCATTTTTGAGTCGGTTAAGCATTCTGAAACGAAGGAATTCATTGGCTGTTTTATTTGTCACGGTTTCATGTATTTTGGTGATCCTAAATTCGATCTACTTAATTAGTGTGAGTAGAATGTTGCAATCTATGCTAAACGACTTCAGACAGACTCTCAACACCTGAACTAGTCAAAGCAAAGGCAGTTCAAGTTTATGAAATGACAAGCAAATAGTAGCAAAAGTGTATATAATAAGTTTTAGAAAACAAAGCGTAAACGATGCTAAAATGAATAATGGTTAATAATATTTAATACTGGAAAATGAATTCACCTTTCAAACACCATTTTCTTTTCAGTGTTGTGTAGCAATTGAACCAGGAGAATATTTGAACGGACGGCTTCCATCAGTAGTTCACCAGGATAAGCTAAGAGAAGTGTATATATATATATATATAGATTAGCAGCAACAGGATCAATTAGTGAACAGTATGCTCACTAAACTGAGTGAGCATAGCAGTCAGCTTTGACGATCTTATGGCGTTTTTTAATGGAAATATCGCTGACACACTCATTGGAAAGGGAACAGATGTATATAAATGGAAGTATGATGGCTGTGGAGTTACAATGTACTAAGGGTATATGAATATATTCTAATTGATGTGGAATGGAAGGGGATGAACTCCAAAACTAATTTATCGACATTCATTTTTTGAGCTCATTCAAGTTTCAACACGAACCATGAACTTTGAAATATTTGATCAGGAAACGAGAAATAAGGGCTGCTAACTCGCCAAGAATTTGCATGCAATAACTTGGGTTCTCTTCATTTTCATTGTTATTTCAATGGTTAGCTTCTATCCATCGAAATTTTAATTGCATTTGGAAAGAAAACATCTTGTATGACATTTTCATGAATATTGCAAGGAATTTCAAGGAGAAGACTTTACAATAATCACCATTTGACATAAGTGCTTGACGAATGAACCATAATTTCATTAAAGACCTCAAATTTGAGTTCATCTTGAAAGAAACGACACACTCATAGCTCTCATGGGTGTGACAGAAAGACGTGCATACATACCCGGAATACCAATAAGCACTCAAACACTTTAGAGGCTACATTAAACTCCATATAACAATTTTAAATTATGTAATGTGATGGTATGTTATGAAATCTCCACTCCATAATTAACAACTCCCTTCAACTCCGTTCTCATTGCTTGCTGATAGCAAGTATACAATTAAGAACTCAATTGGCTGGGGTCAAGTAAAGATATGTGATGAAGTCGTGATACCAAGAATGTCAAGTTATTCGAAATTGGCTTGGCTCTCCTCTTGAGGAGAATTTTTGAATAATATTTCACGATTAAAACAAACAAAACTAACTGAATAGTTGACCATTTAACTCCAATACACTTCTTTTCTAACCACCGAGACTAGGTGGGTAAGATTATCTAACACTATTTTTTTTTAATTCTGAACCAAAAAACTGCGAAGTTGATTGGTAGTGAAAAGCAACCGAAAAGAATCATTTCAGTAGAAATCGAAATTCTATTCGACCAATACAAAAAATCTAGCCTCTTTACACCCTTCCAATTAACGCAAAAATCAATCGTATGGATAAAGATAGGCAAGAGTTAGTAAAGTTATAATAAAGAGATATCACAGTTTCATACGAATTCAATCAAGATAGTTAAGTGTGTGGGTAAAAATAACCAAATGGCACCAAAAATCCCTAAGATAAAGTCACAGAGATAATTCTAATATAATGAAGGAAGTGGGGTGTGTGATGTGACAAGATCATCAAGTGCAGGCAGGTTTGGAGACGAAGAGTTTGAATTCCGCAGTGACAAGAAAACTGATTAGAGCGCCAATTGCAGATCCCATTTGACTCGCGATCCCCAGGGTACGCAGATTACGCTGGGTACCGTATTTCACCAGATGCAGAATGATCCATGTATTCTGAATGTTGAATGCCGCAGTCATTAGGATCCAAGCAATAATCTAAAAAAAACAGAAATATAACGAGATAAATCATTTCAATTGTTAGCTATGTGTGTGTAACTGAATTCTTAGCATTGCTTCATTTGTGGCATAATCCCACCGTGGTAAAAAAAAACCCACTACTCCTTTTTCACCCTACTTACACATTCCTTAATATAATCCTTAAGCGCATTTAGAAAAGCGCTTTTTGCAACACTCATCCTGAGCAACGAAGTAGCCTCATTGAGGCTTCGAAGTGGGAAACGCGACTACGCCTGCTCGTTCCCTTTATAATTACACTTAACTAGTGTGCCCACTGTGTGTGGTAGACACCAAATTTGTGGTCTCTAAGATCACAGCCATTATGGTATTGGCGCATACAAATCTCCCATTCTGTGTTTGTTGAACGCGCGCCTACTTCGGTTTCGAGCAATTATTGATTCGATTATTTTCATTGTGAAGTTAAAAAAAACAGAACAAAAGTGCCGGTTAACTGTGACCCCCTTAAGATAACAGTGATTAAGGACTGAGAGGTTAAGATCTAATTAAAGTGTAAGCGGCCAAATGTAATTTTAAAACACTAAATGAAAAAAAATGACAGTGGGCTGAACTCAGTAACAACCTTCCGACAGTAGATGGCCTTTAAAGTACATCCATTTTATGCTAAGGTTTATCAATAGGGCTAACCGTCTTTTTCCGATGTAATTAAAGAAATGTCGTAATAGGACAGAGTGGCTTCTAAATTTAATTGAACTTGTAGACCAAAGTCAGTTGTAGAAGCCAACAATAATGCCCAATTGATAGATACAAGAAGTAGATTATCACTAGAATTCAGCTTGAGTGAACTGGAGTAAGTTGTGTTGTAAAGGTCCTCTGACCTTGAAGTAGATACCTTCTTCTACCCCCCAAAAAAACATGGAAATTACCGACTTCTCGATTCAATCACTGGGAACAAAAAATCGCCATAATCATAGCGAGAACAAATATGCAGATCGATAGGCCTCCTTATTTATAACATTCTATTTCTCCTCATGTTTAGATCATCCCATGATTAAGATCGGAAATTTTTGCTCCCCTAAGAATAACTGGAAGTTAGACGAAATATTGCATAAAAAGTAAAATAATTTTAAAAAATAATAATAAGGGACTCCCGGTTCCTTGGTTCTTTCTAGCCCTGTTGCATCCAAATTGAGTTCAGAAAAGTTTCCATTAAATTTGAAATATAATCGATTAAGGAAACTTTGAACTGTGGTAAAAGTTAGCCCCAATAAAAAGAATAAATTCAACAAAGGTAAAATTAATTTATTACCGAAAATGCGGGACCGGCACCTCCAAGTTTCGGTGATGAGGGCGACGCGGCAGCCAAGTAGATGATGTATGCAGCAAACACAGTACCGATTAGACAAATTGTTGAGAGTATGATCGCCAACCGACTGCCGATTATTGAGGACATTTTCGTTTCGTCTCGTCGCAAAGCTGCTCGAGTCTCCTCATTACTGCCTTCCATTGGATCCATACCCATCTCCAAGAGGAATTTGGAAATAAGGTTAAAATATATCAATAATTAAGTATGGAATCTCTTCCAACAAACACAACAATACCCTCCCCCTTTCTCTCTAACTCTTCATCGTTCGTGAGATGACTAAAACCAATAAGTCTATTTGAACATCACAAAAGTGAAAGGCAAATGGACATTCTATAGCCAGTAATCAAATCACTGGTTCTTGATAGATCACCAGAGGTAAATTGGGCCGGAATGTGCACACACTGTCTTGAGAGTTCTCTGGGAGCATGTGTCTTTTTGTGCACCGAGGGCACAGTAATCACCAGTGCCTGCAATTCAAATTAAAGCCCATAAGATCTATGCACATTGACATGCATTCGGCGATGTAGTGAGCAATTTCACTATATGAATCCACTTTGATTTCATTTCAGTGAATCTCTTCCGAACGGCTTCCGCCCGTACTTCCCCCCCCCCCCATTTCCACACTTAAAATTCAAGGTCTCCCCTGACCTAATAATAGTATTGGCCCGATAAACATGTCAAGGGACAAAAAGGCCTTGAGTTACATATTTGAAAATCATACTAATAATCCAGGCCTTTATTCAATCTTAATTGGTAGCTGTAAAAAGGTAGCTACCACCTCCACTTCAATGAGAGTGTAAAAGTAGAAGAGTGCAACAAATTCTTTTCAATGAGTAAATTAAAAGCTCGTCAATACATTAATGGATACTACCTAACTCTCGCCTTGAGTAGGAAATTTAATACCATGGAGTCTCCTTTGTAGAAGACTAGGTGTCTGCCACCACTATTAACCACCACTGTTTGTCAGAACAAATAAGAGAACGACTTGATGCAAAATCTACTCCAAAGCCTGCGTTGGAGATCTACTGATACTCAGCTGAAGGACATGTAGTTTGAGTGGTGTCACGAAATCAAACAAGCATGAGGGACGACTTATATTACCAATCACACTAATGTACTTTTAAAATGATTCCTTAAGATTAAAAATATTAAGATTCTATGTAGATAGTAAAACATCATCACTTTATTACACTAAAAGTGGAAAAAGTAGACCTCGGGTGTAGTTAGTACAACTGAACTTCTAAGATGAAGCTTCACTTACCATTACAGCCCTATTCCTTCGACAGCAAAGAACCGACCGTATCAAAGAACCCAAATGATCATTCCCGTAGAAAGCGGTCACCACAAAAGCCGCAAGAGGGGCAGTGATTCCCGACAGTGTGACTGCCAAGTGGAAGGTCAGAGTGTTATAGGAGGCAGTCGAATAAGATTGAAGAGAAGGCAACAATCCATTTGTCAAACAGCTTGAGTATCCTGTGAGAAGGAAGCAAACCCAAAAGAGACCCTTTGGACTTAGCGTTCGAACTTGGACTTCTTGTTCAATGGCATTTGATGGCATTGCTTCTTGATGTGCACAAACAAAACCCCGTTATGGTTTCTACTTGTAGCGCAATAAGTAGTAGTTACGGGTTCGGAAACACACCTGATGACTTTGACTGATTTTCTTCATTCTCATTGATCGGAGGGAGAGAGTGATGGCGCTGATAGGCAAGAGTAACTGATCGACCGAGGCCCATTGGAATGCAATCAAGAAGGAAGAAGGCTAGGAGACTCAGGCCCGTGGTTGCAGCGATCAGACTCATGAAGACGGATACACTGAAGTTTGGTGGATCAAAAATTGGAATAATATCCGTGGTTCCATTCCCTTCATAAACAAGTAATATATAAAATTAATCAACTAAGTGCATTACGATCATACTGGTTTCTGAGCAGTACTTGATTTGAAATTTCACGGCAAGCAAACAAAGAATATTTCAATCGTAATATATCCCTTCTGAAATAAGAATAAAAAGACCCATTCTAAAGGACCTAATAAGGAATCTAGATGACTTCCGTAACAGGCTGCATGGAAAATGGCCTTTGAGGTTGACGTCCCCTCGTTAACAAGCTTATCTCATGGTCTGCGCGGGTACTTAAAAAGAAAAAAACATAGTAAGATGTGATTTTTCAATGCGTTTTCTTAACAAGTCTTTCAAGTTTCAACTCTACTTGACAATCAGGTTCATTCTTTCTCATTTCCATTAATCTCGTTTCTCGATATTCGTCATACACTTAAATTGAGCGGCGAAACAAGTGCATTTCATTGATGCTTTGATTGATCTTTCCCAATTTTGTTGAAAGCGTTCACACACACACACACATAACCTTCATTTATATAATTAATTAATTAATATCAAATGGCAGGCATTTTGATAGTTATCATAAGCCCTTTAGTTGACTTCAGGCTTCACAGAGAAGAAGGAACATCAAAGTGAAAAAAAGTCGAGAGGGGGAGGGGGAGGGGAACAGAAGAGTATTTCAAAGATGTAAAAGAGAGAGACACAAAGGTAGAGTTAAAAAGATGAGGTGAGTACTGTGGAAGTAGTCGAATATGACATACAGTGAGGTGATGGTGTTTTGAAGTCGGAAGTCAGCTGCCGAATAATAGACTTTTTTGCCGTATGAGTATACGTTGACCAGGATGCACCACGTGGAGGTAAGTATATCACACACCCCACCTTCATTTATATAGATAATGATTTCGAGAATGAATGAATGGAACACATTCGAATCACTGAAAAGAGAAGCAACGAAGCCTATGGAAAACGTGAAATGTCCTACTGAAACACAAACAATCTGGTTACTCTATGATAGAAAAATGGGAACTCCACCGAGGGTGATGCAATGCCACCTTCAGAGCATCTTCAAAAAGGGCTTAAATTTAAATCGGACACCAACGTAAACTACCGAATACTATTGTAGCAAAACTCTGGATACCAAACAAGGGCAATCAATACGAGATTGGATTAACACATTGATTTATTTCAATTAAACTCACCATTAGGGATCTGAAGACATTTAGGTTCAGAGTTGACACCCTGGCCAAGAGCGTAGAGACTGGGGAGAAGACCCGATGCAGTTTCACCGAAGAGAAGAGCACCAGTGTACACAGCTGGCATATTGGCCAAGTACGCCAGAAACGTTACGCTTGACATGCAATCGATCATACCCAACAGAAACGTTAATATAAAGAGACCCAAACTGTGATTGTGTAAAGCCTCTAGAGTAGCTGGAGTTACGTAAACTGTATTTTCTGGAAGACCAGGAAGGTATGCAACAGCCTGGAGAGGACAATAATTCAGCTTTGATCAAACAAATCGGAATGGACAACAAAAAATAATGTGAACTTACATCCCAAAACTGGGTAAGAAGAAGGGAAGCAATTAGACCAATAATGAGAATAATGTAATTGGCTAAGCGTTCCGGAGGCTGGATGAGACGCATACACCAGCTTCCACTATTAGCTCGTCCAAACTTTCGACAAATTCGTGTTAGAAGGACGTAGAAAAGTGGACCAACATTGGCAAGCTAAAATTCCATGGTAAAATTTTAACTGCAGCGACAAAAGAATCGTTTCTAGTGGTGCCCCAGTATCAGGGCTATAGTTAGCTCAGACCACGAAAGGTAGAACTTAAGTCATTCCAAAATTATTTATTCAATTAGCTCACGGCTAAGTCATTCCACCATAAGATTGGTAAGAGTTTTGTTCAGAAAAAACAACAAGATGTAAGAGACAACATGAACTCGAATATTGATTACAAAATAGCTGAGACCAATAGATGGAAGTACTATTCGTATAACGAAATAACCCAGAGACAAAACGGCCTTAAGCCGTGTTCCATAAATATATTTTTGACTACGTATTGGTTTATTAAGCAGGGAATAAACTTAAAGAAGTTAGTCTAGACGTATTAAAAACCTGTCAAAAAATCCCCTAAATTGCAGAATGTTCACTCAATATTATTCCAGTAAAAAAAAGATTTAATATGTTGGCATTTCATTTTACCATCCATTTTTACGTCTTCTCCTCAATCAATTGTGTTTGTGTAATTTGCAAGATTTAGAATTTTTGATTTTCTTCTATTTCTCGACAAATTTCAAAAATGTTTAGGTATTTGAGCTTGACCTCTAACAGGTCAACTGTATGAATGAAGCTTCAATCACACAGCATTTCGTTACCCATTTATCCATACAAATGGGAACTTAAATACAACATCAGCCATAGCAAATAATTTGGAAAATCCGAAAGAAATTTTATTTATCCTGCAGAACATTCGAAGGTGCTATTTCTTATCGAAAATCCGATCTGTATATAATGGTGGCGTAAAATTTCATTAAACAAATATATCCACACTAATACCTCAAAATAAATCACACAGCACGTCCCATTTATCAATTATAAAATCTCACCTTGGGCAAGAATATGCATAAAGCTTGAGAAATACCACATTCATTGCTTGTGTAAATATATTGAGCAATTGATAAGCTTTGTGATTAGATATATGTGAGGAATAGTATAAGTGAACAAGAAGTAAAAGTCGACCCACTTGAATGATGACAGAAAGGTATGCGGGAAGGTTCCAGCCCTCAGGCAGAACGTTGACAAGCAATGGAAGTTCCATCCATAAACCATTTATGGCAACCCATGAGCTGACTCCGAAAAAAATTAGAAAGACTGCGTTCCACCATGAAAAAGAAACCTGTGCAACGTGATCATCATCTGGTTCAATTATGGATGGGCCGGAATTTGGGTCGTAAACCGAGTTAGCACTTTTTCCAAAGTCACAAGCCATTATGAAACGACCAAAAAAAATTCCAGCGCTCTAAATGTATATATTTAGAAATTTTTCCAGGGATTACCAAATACCGCAGAGAAATTTAGGTGAAAGGTAATAGATTAGACCACCCTACGCACCTGTGAGAAATCTAAATTGATAACCAGTTAAGTTACCTTGAGTTGACCAATAAAGTGCCAAAAGATTATTCAAACAACCTATTTTTATAAGTACCATTGAATACCATTAAAATGCAAAAGATACTAATATATAAGTTAAATTTTAACTCACAAAGGCTATAGCAAATTAAATTTGGAGGTAATATAGGGGTAACAAAATAATCATTTTGCAATGAAATGATTTTAAAACATAAATGGAATAGAATGATAACATTTAATTCAGCTTATGTAATAAAGTCTAAATAATTCATCCCGCTTAGATAAATGAGTATCAGTTAATCTTCTCTCAAAGTTATTGGGTTTTAGATAGTTCATGTCGTAATCACTCATATTAACTTCAGCGACAATCCAGTGTGGAATACTTTGGAAACATTTTAAATATGTTAGAAATGGCAAGACTTAGTTTATGTAGATGGTACGATTGATTTTTAATATATACTCAGAGAAAGAAATCTGCACTATAGTTCTTCCATCGTGTTTTCATTTGAAAATAATTTACTTGAACATATTCTATGCCATATTTCTTCAAAATTTTTATAACATTGATTAAATTAATAACAGTGATAGGTAATACACTCAAATCAATTTCTATAAACAGCTAAACGTATCAAATGAAATAGAAGTGGTCACTTTCTCACTGGCCACAGAGGCAAGATATAATCAAAGAAATAAGTACACGTGATTCTATTGTGCAGACTACAAAATATGAAAAGCTGTGCAATTAGATCATAAAATTATTTTCCATTTCTTTGGGAAAACCAAAGTTTTATTTTTACTTGATTCAATATGCTGTCTTTTAATTTATAGGAATAATTGCTACATTATACTTGACGACTTAAACTTCAAATCATAAAATGTCAAAATTTTCCACACATTGACACGAATATGTAAAGTTCTTCATATTTTTCCTTTAATTTCAAAACATTTCCTTCTCTCTCATACGAACGAATTCACTCATATTTCAATTGTAAGTATTTTGTTGTAAAATTACTCAATTGGAATGAAAACGTTCGACTTATTTTGCCATTTCTTAAGCAATCCATGGGGTCCGTGGAGTATCCTAGAGTGAAGCAAAGATCATAGCGCTTACCAAAAGCAATGAATTGAGATGATGTGAGACAAAACACTCCGAAATATTTTAGATATACTGAAAATGTACTCGAGTTCTAAAATTCAGTTTTGGTTAAGGTGAACAATTTTTTACACAGACTTATTGATATTTATTCAGATGTTATCCTACGAATTCTTATAGTTTAATGTTTCGTTCGGATTAATTATGTTTTATTTCGCGTTCCACCTATTTTGCTCATATATTGTAAATATTCATGCTATTTGCACGAAATGCATCACCTAGTGAAATCTGACAAAGTAGTAACCAAAATAATTGAAACAAGTTTTGGATTTTAACTATAATTATCTATTTATTATTAATATTATTGAATAAATCTTAAGCAAATATTGCACTTGCCATCAAATCCATATTGATCAAGCAGCTCCCAAATGTTTGATTCAATTGAAAAATTTATACTTTTAAAGGTGTTTATCCCTTATTTAGGAATAATGAATTCCAGGACCTGCCTGAAAGGTGTCCATTAACCTTATCTTTGCTAAAGATTTTAACCATTAAGAACTTAATAAAAATAATATATAATCAAATTTATTCATTTTCAGTTTACCTTAATATATATAATTAAGGGAAATGCAATATATTTTAAACGCGCTACAGTCTCAAATTTAATTGGTTATCTGTTGTGCGCTGGAAGCAACAAAGTTCGGGCCTTCTCTTGCGCAATTTTTTGAGGTGAGTATCTAAAGCCAATTTCTTTACTATTTCCGGAGGTCAATTTTATACAATCTAAATTTAAAATTAGTTAAAATTGCCTGATTTTTGTATGAAAATGTATTCTAAACTTTTAATTAATAAATCTAACTTCATTTTATATAGTTTAATGGAAAATAATTCCTATTTATTAGCATCTGTTAAATCGACTTACTCGAAATATTAATTTTTTAGTATGAACGACAGTAAAAACAGTTGTGAAAATCATGCATCCACTTCGAAGTCTTCGGAAAGAACGTCAGACAGCCTTACTTCCCTCTATACCAATGATAGTGTTTTAAATCCACCAGGGTTACAAAACCTTGGTAATACATGCTATATAAATGCGACACTCCAATGCCTCCTTACAATACAACCTCTTGTTGAGTGGCTTCTCAGCAAGCCTCATCTTACAAATCAATTATCAGTTTCCAAATCCAATGGCCCTCTCCTAACTCCTATTTTGTCTGATCTTGTGATTGCTATATTTAGAAGAAACTGTAACACTGAACTAGAGAATTTCAGAACTGTTATTGGTGAACTCGTTCAAGTAAGTTTGTATATGTTTTCAAAATTGTTTGATCGGATGCTGATTTATCTTATTTTTAGGACTTTAAAGAACCACGTGAACAGGATGCTCAAGAATTCCTCCTCTTTCTGCTCAATCGACTTCACGATGAGAATTTGCTTTTTGGTGACCATACAAATCCCCAGACCTCTGAGATCTTACATATTTTCGAGGGCATCTTACGAACCCAGCTCATATGTTCGCAGTGCTCGTCGGAAAAGAGTAGCTCAAAGTCCGTCTTGCCCTTTCGAAATAAATATTCAAAGAATTATAAGGGGAATACTGAAGTCTTTCTTTCTCTTTCTCTCCCAATTCCTGTCCAAGAAGATCAGCTAATATCTGCCACCGACACGGTTGATAGCAATGCTTGCGATTTGAATTTTGTTTTTAATGAAATTGTCGATAGTAATTCGGTATGTTGTTCTAATGTGAATCTATCTTCTCTCTCTAATTTACATCCCATGTTTTATTTCTACTTTCCTTTCAGAATGTATGCTATCGTCGTTTGCTTAAGCTACATCCCAATACTGATATGCAGAGCATTTATAATCAGATATTCTCCTTGTCACATATTACTATCAACCCTGTATTTCATTTTAAACGGCAAAATAAATCCAACACCTTAAACAGTCGTAAAAGTATTAAAGAGAGTTCTTTTGATGAGGATACTTCAGCTATGCAAGATCCCTTCTTAATTGTTCAAGTCAAATCTACGGGTTTCGGAGATTGGTTTCTGGTTTGTTCCTTAATTGTCAACTGTCCCAATGGTGTGTAAATAGTAAGCAACTGTTTCCGTATTTTAATAGGAGAGCTCTGGACGTGCACTTGATTTAGCCGATGGATTGAATGTGGAAGATGATTTTCGTACAAAATCCTCAGGTCAATCACCGAATGTGAAACAAAGTCTTCTCACCGGGGATGCCCTATTCATTGTGCGATTAAATAGTAAATTGATTACGGGTGAATCTCCGACGACAACTTATGCGTCAGATTCTGAATTTCCTCCACTTCCCTCAGCAAATAATGGAACGATTTCTTCTACTAGGATTGATGAACCTACCTCTTTCGCCAGTGCTGGACAACATGGGGTAGAATTGAATACCTCCAATGTAAGTTATTGATGCTAAATATTGAGGGCAGTCATTGCCATAAAGTAATGTCAAAATCGACTTTGTTTTTATCTATAATCTATTAGGACAAACTTAAGATGATGAGAAAGCATGAAAAATGGTGGAGAAAAAATACTTCCAGTTGGATTAAGAGAATGTTCACATTGAATTTAGTTTAATTTTCATTTGTCCTCATTACATGTTTTTTTCGTATATTTCTTTCTTTTAATTTATTTCTTTTAATTTTCTATCAATGCGAGAAGACGGAATTTGATGAAGAATTTGATGTTTTATACCGACTAGTAAATACTGATTTTAGGCAAATGAAAATAGACGTTTTATTATCTTTCAATAGCCCATCTTGTCTCCTCGTATCAGTAATTAGTTTCCCAGCCACATTTTCTTTTCTTTTTACTACTTTTGAAGTCAATCCTTGTTTTGTTTGTTTATCGTTGAAGCCTGTATTTGGCTTTTGTATAATCTCCTTTTGTCCACGCAAATGATTTTTCCCTCCATTTCCCATTTTGCACATTTTTTACAGGAAAATCGAGATATTATTTTTCCTCAAACAGTCTGGCTTAGTAACCTTAACGCACTTATTTAAAATAGGGTTTTAATTGCCAACACGGTTGCCAAAAGGTGTTAAATTGCTTACTATCGGAGTGCGCAGCTATTATAGTTTTTTGGTGGAATCTAAAGCTTTCATTTCCTTTTATCTACTTACTTATCTCATTTCATGTGCCTCATTGACAGTTTTAGCATGATTGTATCATTGCGAGGCAGTTAAAAACTATGCCATAGACGCCTATATTTACTTTTTTTAGGATTCGGACAAGTTATACCGGAGTACTTTGGGGATTTATATTACAATTTTAGAAGATGGGTCCCAGCGCCAAGTTATTTTTACGTTCTTTTTTCCCACTCGATATGTTAATCCAATAGCTTTCGAGTACTGGTTACTTTAGGAAACGATTAGTGCATAATTACTTGAGTGCCTAAATGAATGGGTAAACTCTTGAGCTCTATCTCGTTAAAATTGTGCAGGGCATTATTATCACTGAACTGGTATGGGAAAAAATCACTTCGGTATTCAATATAAGTCTCATTTATTGCTTATTTATTAGGGTGATTCAGTTGTAGCCCTGTGTGTATATTTTGTAGAGGTAGCATAGGATTTTAGGGCGTGAGGACAGGGGTCTGTGTCCCTTCCTGCTCGCTATTGCCTACCATACAACAAGCTTAAGGAATGACTAGATTCTTTTGCTAACACACATCGAATGATGTGGGAAAGAGGTAGGATATCAATGTTTGTTTGGTTTGTAAGGGAAAAAGTGAACAGCCATTTAGCGTGTATAAGGACTGATAATCAGGTATTTAAGGGCAAGTTCGGTGAAAAACGCCAGTCAGGTGATCATGGCCCTTGTATATATGACCTCTAGCATAATTAAATAATTTAACCAAAGTCACGAAGGAATTAGTCAAGTTACTTTTTATGTGCGAAACGCTTCTATTGTCTTCGCCTGTTCACAAAGTAATTCGTACTAATTAAGACCGACTACTCAAGATTTATCATTATCGGGACTGACGGTGACGGGTTGGCTTCTTTGTCATACTATCAATGTCTTGCAGTCTTCGCAAGCCATGTTCCAGATGGAGTTTGACGATAATAACACAAAGGGTCGAGTTATTTATCCGACTGTAGAAAGTGCCGTGCACAGGTATTGCTTTGGCCTCGTACATAATCAACTGACTAGGGTCATTTCTCTGAGCCATTCCTTAATCTGCAAGTCACTTCCTCAAAATTAGGACTTTGTGTCTTAGAGCAGGCCTAAAACTTTTGCCAAATGATAAATTGAATTGAAGCCTCTTATAGACTTTCTTACCACATCATAGTGAAAATCAGGTGGTTGATTTTACTAACGTATGATTTCTTAATTATGAGTGGGGGGGG